ATGAGAAAAGTTTGGTTTATATTCCAGACCAATTAACATTAGATGAAATCGAAGACTCGCTATTCGACATCAAGGTAGCTCAAGGTCAAGCATATTTAGCTTCATTAATAAATAATACTGCAATTCCAACATGCGTTGAGGCATTTACAAGATTGGCTTGTTCGATTAAATTTCCAAAATGTAATGATACAGCAAGCACAACACAGCAAAGTAATTAATTAATATCTTTTTTTTTTCAACATTTTCGAGTGAGAAGCTCTTTAAAAAATCTACCCTTTTTTTCTTTTTTCAACATTTTCGAGCGGGACAGTCATTAAAAGATTTACTTTTATTTTTAATATATATATATATATATATAGTTCCACCAAATTCTTTACCGAATATTGTAATTAAGCCTTGTAAATCACTCTGTGATAATGTTATAAATTTATGCGGTGTTATACCGCCATCTCCTTACAATCAGGACAACCCTTTACAACGTATCCTATCATCACCTTTATACCCGAAAGATTGTTCTGGAATCATAAGCAACGAACCACCTTTGAATGTTGTTTATCCAACAGATACAACTTCCTCCGCATCATTATCATCATGTAACAATCAAGCACCACTACTTGGCAATAATCAATTAATATTAAAACCGAGATGTTTTCCACCGGCAATAATCGATGAATATTATCTTGCAACCAATACCCCAACACATGAAAAATTCTGTGTAGGTGGATGTTGTGTTAAATGTCCTCAAACATATTCGGTATATCCAGATGGCTGGCTAGAAAAAGGATTCGCGGTGACGCAAAGTTTCCGAGTAGTATCAGCTGTATTGGCACTTATTATGTCGATTTCGTATATTTTATTACCTGGAAAAAGAACACATCCTGGTTTATTGATTTTGTTCACTTCAATTGCAATATTTATATTTTCTTCTTTGGTATTTTTTTCGATTGGTGATCCTAAAAAGATTCAATGTGTAAATGATATCGATCCAAGTACTCAAAGCAATGATACTTCATAATAACACTTGTCCTGTCCATTACCTGATTGAATACATTGTATCCACTTATCCTTGAAATCACTGTTATCAGGCCCTGATGCTATACGATTCAACTCTATAAAATAAAATATCCAATAGAATATTACGGTCAAAACAAGTATTATCGATAGCAGTAATGCACGCCATTGTATTTTAACCGCTTGTAAAACATCTCGACGATCTGCTCTCGTAAGTACAATATTATTTCTTTTAAGATAGATGGATTTTTTTTTGTTACTGTTAGTATCGTTTCCGCCACTATTATCATTATTATTATTGTTGTCAGATCTTGAAATAGTTGGTCGTTGAGACATCCTTGCAATATGGAAGAATGTGGCCATATGTATAAAAAATATCGGGATAACTATAACAGCCAATGGATAAAAAAATGCTCTACTAGCATTTTCCTCTTTAATGAAGCAAAGAGTTGCAAATTCATAATTGACGGACGAGGTTGCCAATGCTATCACGGTGAAAAATGCCGGAATGCCCCAG